TAGTAGTAGTAGTAGTAGTAGTAGAAGTAGAAGTAGTAGTAGTAGTAGTAGTAGTAGTAGTAGTAGTAGTAGTAGTAGTAGTAGTAGTAGTAGTAGTAGTAGTAGTAGTAGTAGTAGTAGTAGTAGTAGTAGTAGTAGTAGTAGTAGTAGTAGTAGTAGTAGTAGTAGTAGTAGTAGTAGTAGTAGTAGTAGTAGTAGTAGTAGTAGTAGTAGTAGTAGTAGTAGTAGTAGTAGTAGTAGTAGTAGTAGTAGTAGTAGTAGTAGTAGTAGTAGTAGTAGTAGTAGTAGTAGTAGTAGTAGTAGTAGTAGTAGTAGTAGTAGTAGTAGTAAGTAGTAGTAGTAGTAGTAGTAGTAGTAGTAGTAGTAGTAGTAGTAGTAGTAGTAGTAGTAGTAGTAGTAGTAGTAATAATAATAGCAATCGTAGTAATCGGCACGATCATGGTAGTACTACTAAGGGTAATCGTGATAATGCTAGTCGTCGAAATTGCAGCAGCAATAGTACCAGTAATAGTAACTATCGATCGTGCTAGTACTACGGCCGTTTTCTGCTTCCAGCTTTCAATTTTTCAACGCGCGCGTGGAAGCCTTCAGGTCAGGGCCGTAGTTCTCGTTTGTCTGAGTCAGAGTGGAAAGAGCTCATCCAAGAACACGAAGTTATACTATCATACTAAATGTGTCATATTATATGGCCAAAGCAGGGAAATAACATTGTCCAGGGCGATCGAAAAAGACGACCAAGACTACGAGAGCAAAGCCGTCAACCGTGGACTCATGAGCAAAGCTGGCTCGCGGGCTGGGCGTCGCAGTCCGCGCCTGCATCCAGCTCTGCACAACTGGTGTGGGGGGGGTACGGCGCGCCGCGCGCTGGCTTCGCGTTCGTCTCTGCGCCTTCCGAGATGTGGTCAGAGCGACAGAGCAGCCCGCGCGGACGTTCCGGGCGCGTCTTCGGCTTATTCGCTCGCGTAGATGGTCGTTTCTTCGCGCGCGCCGGAGGGTATAGTTTTGCGCTTCGTACTGAAGTCCTCCCTGTCCTGGACCTCGTGGATCTGAAACTCATGCGTTTCGACAGACGACAGCAACGTCCGTCCAGTCAGTCCTGTGGTGCCTCTTCCGCCTCCTCCTCTTCCTGCTCCTCTCTCCCCCCCTCTTTTCTGCTCCGCCTCCTTCACCTCGTCCCTCCTGTTCCCTCCCCGTCCTCCGGCTTCGTCTCCTCCTCCTCCTGCTCCTCCTGTCCCTCTTGCTGTTCCTCCTCCGTCTTCGCCTGCGCCTTTTCCTCTACGCCTTGGGGACCCGGGGCGCCTGGCCTCGTGCATCTCGCTGCGGGAAAGGAAGAGTGTGATCGAGGATAACCAGCTGCCTGCGGCAACTCCCTCCATGGTGCCAGCCCAGCACCTAGGGTTGCGACTCTTTGAGGGGGCGCGGGGTGCCGTCGCGTGCGACATCTCGTTCTTCCAGGCAAGGAAGAGCCGTAACGAGGATGATGAGGCTTCTTTTGGATTCCACGGGTAATGATGATGGTGATGGTGCTGAGGATGATGATGTCGATGATGGTGGGGATGATTTGGAGGATAATGGTGATGATGATGGTGATGATGATGATGGGGGCCATGATGGCGAGGATGCTGCTGCTGGTGATGCTGATGATGATGGTGATGATGTCGATGCTGGTGTTGATGGTGTTGTTGATGGTGCTGATTCTGTTTGTGGTGGGGATGATGCGGGTGAGGATTCGGAGGAGGAAGAGGAGGAGGAGGAGGATGAGTGGGAGGAGGAGGAGGAGGAGGAGGAGGAGGAGGAGGAGGAGGAGGAGGAGTGGGAGGAGGAGGAATGCTGATGATTGGTGATCATGTTGATGCTGGTATTGATCATCTTATTGATGGTGCTGATGGTGGTGGTGATGATGAGGGTGAGGATGAGGATTCGGAGGAGGAGGATGGCGGTCGAACCCTGTGAGGCGGCACTCGGTGGCGCCTGCCGTGCCACGTAAGGTTGCTGTGCCATCTCGCGTAAGACCCGCCAATTTTCGCTTCGTTGATGCTGCTGCTGGTGATGCTGATGATGATGGTGATGATGTTGATGCTGGTATTGATGGTGTTGTTGATGGTGCTGATTCTGATTGTGGTGGGGATGATGAGGGTGAGGATGAGGATTCGAAGGAGGAGGATGACGGTCGAACCCTGTGAGGCGGCACTCGGTGGCGCCTGCCGTGCCACGTAAGGTTGCTGTGCCATCTCGCCTAAGACCCGTCTTTTCTCGTTGCTGCTGCTGCTGGTGATGCTGATGTTGATGGTGATGATGTTGATGCTGGTATTGATGGTGTTGTTGATGGTGCTGATGCTGATGGTGGTGGTGATGAGGGTGAGGATGAGGATTCGGAGGAGGTGGATGATGGCGGTCGAACCCCGTGCGGCGGCACTCGGTGGCGCCTGCCGTGCCACGTAAGGTTGCTGTGCCATCTCGCGTGAGACCCGCCTCTTTTCGTTAAGGATGATGCTGGTGATGCTGATGATGATGGTGATGATGTTGATGCTGGTATTGATGATTTTGTTGATGGTGCTGATGCCGATGGTGGTCATGAGGAGGATTCGAAGGAGGAGCATGGCGGTCGAACCCTGAGAGGCGGCACTCGGTGGCGCCTGCCGTGCCACGTAAGGTCGCGATGCCACCTCGCGTAAGACCCGCCTCTTTTCGTTGAAGATGATGCTGGTAGCGATGGTGTTGATGATGATGATGCTGATGATGCTGATGCTGATGATGATGCTGCTGATGATGATGATGATGATGATGATGATGATGATGATGCTGATGCTGATGCTGATGCTGATGCTGATGCTGATGCTGATGCTGATGCTGATGCTGATGCTGATGATGATGATGATGATGATGATGATGATGATGATGATGTGGTGGTGGTGGTGGTGTGGTGGTGGTGGTGGTGGTGATGATGATGATGATGATGATGATGATGATGATGATGATGATGATGATGATGATGATGATGATGATGAGGAGGAGGAGGAGGAGGAGGAGGAGGAGGAGCAGGAGCAGGAGCAGGAGGAGCAGGAGGAGCAGGAGGAGAAGGAGGAGGTGGAGGAGGAGGAGGAGGAGGAGGAGGAGTTGGAGGAGGAGGAAGAGAAGGAGGAGGAGGAGGAGCAGGAGGAGGACGGAGGAGGATGAGAAGGAGGAGGAGGATGAGGAGGAGGAGGAGGAACAGGAGGAGGAGAGGGAGGAGGAGGAGGAAAGGGCGTAGCAGGAGGGGAAGAGAAAGTGCGGGCCTTCTTGGGACTGCTCGGGGATACGGGGGCCCCTCCCCGCCGCCCGGGGTCGAAAGGAGAACTGCGCGTCGCAGGGCATCACTTTCTTCCAGGCGCGCTGAACGTGTGGGAGGAGGACCCTGACATCTCTGTCCCGAGGGGGAGGAGGAGGCGGAGGAGGAGGAGGAGGGCAGTGACATTTGGGAGGGCCAGCTGGGCATGGCGCCCACATCCTGCGCCTTCTCGTCCTGCTCTTCCTACTTGCCGCTGACGTCGGTGTCGTCGTTGCTGGCAAAGTCGCGAGCATCGTTTCGGGCGCCTTCGCCGACTGTCTCCTCTCCCTTCAGCGGCGCGCAGAGGGGGTTGGGTCGAGGGTGTGGCCTCCCCAATGCAAGGGGGTTTTCCTGGAAGCCTTCCAGCTTGCTACCGTCGGCGTTGGACAGCTAGCCTTCGCTGGCCCTTGCCCTTATCACACGCTATCTCTCACCTGGGAGGCAGCGTGCACCGAAGAAGCCCTGGCAGAGGGATGCCGTGCACAGAAAGAAGGGGCCCTCGCGGGGGGATCGCCTCATAGGCATAGCGCCTGTCGGAGAGCGATGTCGCACGCGGCGATTCCAACGCCAGCCAGAGGAGGCTCTCCTGGAAGCCCCCGCTCCCTCGCGAGAAGCCCCGCGCCTTCTTGCGGAGGAGAAGGAGGACAAAGAGGAGGAGGAGGAGGAGGAGGAGGAGGAGGAGGAGGAGGAGGAGGAGGAGGAGGGAGGAGGAGGAGGAGGAGGAGGAGGAGGAGGAGGAGGAGGAGGAGGAGGAGGAGGAGGAGGAGAGGAGGAGGAGGAGGAGGAGGAGGAGGAGGAGGAGGAGGAGGAGGAGGGAGGAGGAGGAGGAGGAGGAGGAGGAGGAGGAGGAGGAGGAGGAGGAAGGAGGAGGAGGAGGAGGAGGAGGAGGAGGAGGAGGAGGAGGAGGAGGAGGAGGAGGAGGAGGAGGAGGAGGAGGAGGAGGAGGAGGAGGAGGAGGAGGAGGAGGAGGAGGAGGAGGAGGAGGAGGAGGAGGAGGAGGAGGAGGAGGAGGGGAGGAGGAGGAGGAGGAGGAGAGGAGGAGGAGGAGGAGGAGGAGGAGGAGGAGGAGGAGGAGGAGGATGAGGAGGAGGAGGAGGGAGGAGGAGGAGGGAGGAGGAGGAGGAGGAAGGGAAGGAGGAGGAGGAGGAGGAGGAGGAGGAGGAGGAGGAGGAGGAGGAGCCTGCCCTCTTCCCCGTGCCTCCGCGCCGTCTCGATATCGGCCCCGTCTGTGCGAGGCCTTCACGCCGTCTCGTCTTCCGTACTCCCCGGTCGCCTCGCAGGGAAGCGTGGGGCAGTGGCCGACTCGAGACCCGGACGTGCCTTTGTGCTCTCGCTCGCGGCCCACCATTCGTCAGGTGGCCAAATATGGGAGCTTCTGTTCGACCCAACGCGTTTCTCAATGTATGGTTTGATGTGATTTAGTGGGATTTGCTGGGTGCCCACGTGGGATTTCGTGGATTCGCAAGAGGGATTTAGTGGGATCTAGGATCCAGGTGGTTTTGGTGGGGGGCACGGCATGTAGGCGCCCGTGCGACTGCGTGAGGCTCCCATGCCTGGCCACTCAACATTCACTTCGACTGGACGTGGCCTGCAAGACGAGGAGCCGAAGCAGCATTGGAACGGCCTGGCAAGGCCCCTGTCGCTTCGATCGGCCCGATCCGATTTCGAACTCGCCCGTCTCGATCCGATTTGATCTCGATTTCCCAGCGATCCGATGTAACACGATGCTCGCACGGCGCAGTTGTGCAGCCGTGCGCAGCCGAGTCGACCGGATTCCGACCCTGTGCCAATGCGGCCCGAATCCGACGCACGTTCTAGTTCGATACGATTTTCGACGACACGCTCAGGGGGGAAGGCAGAAGGGGCGGGCCTCCTCAGGAGGCTCAGAAGGCCTCCAGCCTTGGAGAAGCCTGCTGAGCCTTCTCCGAAGCCACAGCTGGCTGCTCAGAAGGCAGGATGGCTTCTGAGAAGCCCGAGCGCCTCCCGAGAAGGCCTGCCCCACTCTCTCTGCGGGTCTACTGTCAACACTGACGTGTTGTGGATTCTTTAGTCAAGCTTTGTAGGCAGGACTGCGCCCGATCTGGCTTTCTTGTTGTGCATGACCACGTCTCCGTTGATTTATTCAAGAGGCTTACGCCATTCCGTCGACCCCCAAGAAGAGAGAGGAACGCATGGAAGCTGTCTGGTGGCTTCCGTGTTTCCTTGCATGCCTTTGAGGGGCATTTGGGGGCGGTCTTGGGGGCATCTGGGTGGCTTTTGGGGGCCTTTTGACGGCCTCTTCAGGGACTCCTGGAAGCCTCTAGAGGCCTCTTGGGGGCCTCTTGGGGGCGCCTCGGGGGTCTCTGGGGGCTCTCGAAGCCATCTTGGGTGGAAGGGCTCGAACTGTCAGTTCGTATAATCCCCGCCTCTTGGGGCTCTCTTGGGCTGTCTTAAGGGACCCTGGGGTCGTCGTGGAGCCCTCTGAGGCTGTCTTGGGGCCATCTGGGGAGCCTCAAGCGCCGTCTTGTGACGATCTTGCGGCCTCTTGAGCCGTATTGGCCGCTGTCAAGACCAAAAAGGCGACCATGTCAAAAGTATACATTTCCCAAAATGATTGGGATGATGTTTGCTTCTTGGGACCCTCTCGGCGGTCCTCTGGGAGCACTCTTGGGCCGTCTTGGAGGCCTCGTTGGCCGTCTTGAAGCCATCTTGGACCGTCGTGGGGCTACCCTGGGCCGTTTCAGCGCTCTCTTGGCCTGTCTTCGCTCACTGTCTGGGTTCTCTGGGGCCGGAGGCTCCAGGGGCGCGTTGCATCTTGGATCCCAAGGGAGGGGGAAAGGGGGAGGGGCACAGCCAAATGCCTCCCTCACACGCATTTTCACCCCCAGCAAGCGGTGGTCGGAGGATATGCAGCTTCATTTGGATCAGTGCCTTCTCATGCCTCTGTTGATGTCTTTCCTGCATCTTGCATGTTTCACATGTCTGGCGCTACGGCGTCAAACCGTTGCCCTCTAGCCGGCGACAGACGCAGGTCCGTTGTTCCGATGTTCTCATTTCCCCCCTCGGCGCGCCGCCGAGATCTCCCCAATCGGTGCGGACCGATTTCAGGGGGGAAAGAAACACACAGACACAATTAATCGTCGAGTCCTAGGAAAACATGGGAAAATATGGGAACTGGGCGGGAAGACAAAACCCCAGAATATGCGAAAATGTGGGGAACCATTTTATTTGTGTGTATTTATTTGTGGTTCCCAGGGCCCCTTCACGATTGGGGGGCCCACGGACGGTGCGGTGACCGTACCGCGTGGTGCGTCCGCGGGGCCTCGGGGCCACCGCGCGGTTCTGGGGCTCGGGGGCAGCTCTCCGAGGGCGTCTCGGGCGCCCATGGCCTCTGGGGCCCCAGAACCGCGTGGCGACAGACCCTCCTCCTCCTCCTCCTCCTCCTCCTCCTCCTCCTCCTCCTCCTCCTCCTCCTCCTCCTCCTCCTCCCCCTCCTCCTGATTCTCCTCCTCCTCCTCCTCCTTCCTCCTCCTCCTCCTCCTTTCCCTCGCGCGGTCAGGTCGTTGGGGATTCCGAGGTCACCACGCGGTCCGTCACCGCACGGGTTCTGGGGCCCCGAAGATGTCCTCTCTCCTCTCTCCCCTTCGTGCGCCGCCGAGATCTCCCCAATCGGTGCGGATCAATCCCCAGCTTGGGCCAGAAAAGCTACGAGCTGCATGCGTGGGAGAAGGGGTAGAGGGCAAAGCAAGAGCAAGGGCCACAGGAGAGGGAAACCCGCGCAGATCTGGTGGCCAGCAAATCCAAACGTTTCCTCAGACACCGTAAGACCTCCGCAATCGGTGGGGACTGGTCCTCGCCCCCGCGAGGTCTTCGCCTCGACGTCCGGGCTTCTCGGCCTGTCGCGGTCGTCGGATTACGCCGCTGTCAACGGCGAGCCGCGCTCCCGCGCGCCGCGCGCTGCCCGCCGCGCCCCCCTGGTGCCTCCTTCGGCGGACGAGGGCGGGCAGAACAGAGGAGGTGGAGGAGGGGAAGGAAGAGGAGGAGGTGGAGGAGGGGAAGGAGGAGGAGGAGGAGAAGGAGGAGGAGGAGGAGGAGGAGGAGGAGGAGGAGAAGGAAGAGGAGGAGGAGGACCAGTGTAGATCCAAGTCTCATCAACGATGTTCGAATAAACCCTCACTGTAGGAGGGGCCCAATTTGTAGGCCCCATGCAAGGATTCATTTCCACTGGGGAAAGTGCCCCGTTGGGAGACAACCGTTTGAAGATCCTGCAGCATGCCAAAACACCGTTGACGAGACTCCAGCGCCACGAGTCAATTTGACTGTTGCGTATTGACGATCCTGAATCGTGCCAGAACACGATCAACACCGCGAATCATCCTATCTGTTTCGCCTTGACAGTCTAGACTCGTTCCAAAACGTCGTTTCTGGCGCGTAAGCAATGCGAGCCCATGAACTTCCTGTATTTTTTAGACTGACTGAATGTGCGCGGCGCTCAGGCGAGAGCAACATCTTGAAAATGATCTGCTCTCAATCCTTACAACTTTCGTACATTTCAGATACGAGCGTGCGCTGCGCGATGGTGAGAGCCACATTCTGAAAACGGCCCGCCCTCAATCCGTGGAGCTCGTGTTTTTTTTGGAAGATGAATATGCGCGGCGCTATGGCGAGAGCCGCAACTTGAAATCCACCCGCCCTCAATCCGTCAAGCTCTTGTAACTTTTTGAGGCTAATGTGCACCGCGCTAAGGCGAGAGCCACATTGTGAAAGCGACCCGCCCTCCATCTGTGAAACCGTTGCTCATTTTTAGCTTCAGGATCGTAACTGGGGAAGTCTCAGGCGAACAGCCTGACCCGCCTTTCCGAACGGCCTCGGTGTGCGACAGGGAGGAGTCAGATACAAGGAAAAGGACAGGAGGAGGATGAATCGGGAGGAGGAGGAGGAGGAGGATGAGGAGGAAAAACAGAGGAGAAGGAGGAGGAGGAGGAGAAGGCGGGAGAGGAGGAGGAGGAGGAGGAGGAGGAGGGAGGAGGAGGAGGAGGAGGAGGAGGAGGAGGAGGAGGAGGAGGAGGAGGAGGAGGAGGAGGAGGAGGAGAGGAGGAGGAGGAGGAGGAGGAGGAGGAGGAGGAGGAGGAGGAGGAGGAGGAGGGAGGAGGAGGAGGAGGAGGAGAGGAGGAGGAGGAGGAGGAGGAGGAGAGGAGGAGGAGGAGGAGGAGGAGGAGGAGAGGAGGAGGAGGCGGAGGAGGAGGAGGAGGAGGAGGAGGAGGAGGAGGAGAGGAGGAGGAGGAGGAGGAGGAGGAGGAGGAGGAGGAGGAGGAGGAGGAGGAGGAGGAGGAGGAGGGGAGGAGGAGGAGGAGGAGGAGGAGGAGGAGGAGGAGGAGGAGGAGGAGGAGGAGGAGGAGGGAGGAGGAGGAGGAGGAGGAGGAGGAGGAGGAGGAGGAGGAGGAGGAGAGGAGGAGGAGGAGGAGGAGGGAGGAGGGAGGAGGAGGAGGAGGAGGAGGAGGAGGGAGGAGGAGGAGGAGGAGGAGGAGGAGGAGGAGGAGGAGGAGGAGGAGGAGGAGAGGAGGAGAGGAGGAGGAGGAGGAGGAGGGGAGGAGGGAGGAGGAGGAGGAGGAGGGAGGAGGAGGAGGAGGAGGAGGAGGAGGAGGAGGAGGAGGAGGCGGAGGAGGAGGAGGAGGAGGAGGAGGAGGAGGAGGAGGAGGAGGAGGAGGAGGAGGAGGATGGGGAGGCGGATGAGGATGATGAGGGTAGTGAGGATGAGGAGGCAGATGCAGTGAAGAGGCAGGTACGGAGGAGGAGGACAAGGAGGAGGAGGAGGAGGAGGAGGAGGAGTAGGAGGAGGATCAAGTAAGCCAGCTCGAGCGAGTCAAGGATGGCATGCTCATTCCCACCCGCCTTCCCACAACATAAGAAACAGTGCTGACGCAACTGGGGGCCGAAATCAGATCGGCAAGGTGGTTTGGCACAGCTGATGCAGCCGCGATGGCGGTTACCGATCTGAAATTCCTGGCGCGTCTCAAAGGCTGCGCTGGCATTTTAGCACGAGCCGAGGATGCCCCAGCAGGCCCCAGGAAGCCTCAGGAGGCCCCAGAAGGTTGCAGGAGGCCCCAGCGAACCCAAGGAGGCCCTAGGAGGTCCGATGAGGCTTCAGGAAGCCCTAGGAGGTGTCAGGAAGCCCTGAGGAATCCTGGGAAGCCCCAGGAGGCTTCATGAGGCCCCAGGAGGATCAAAGAGGCCCTGGGGAGCCCCCGGGAAGCCCCGGGATGCTCGCGATGTGCGCCGCGTCCCGTTCCTGCCACGCATTTCGCATCGTCGACGACAAGACAGGCCATGCTGAGAGAAAGAAACAACAGTTTCGTATTGGTTTTTTAAACAGTTAGGATGGGAGGGCGCCGATTGACGGCCGCTCGCGA